GACCCTGTGTAACTGAAATACTGCGTCCTTTGACCAACATCTACTCAATCCTCCACTATAAGTCACCTAGTAGTTACCATTTCACTCTGCTTCTAAGAGTACTACATCTTTTAGGTTCAATGGAAGTTAGATCATGGTATATTTGTTTTTCCATGAATGACACCTTTCTCTTAACCTCATGTCATACAGGATCACCCATGTTGTAACACATGAGAGGATTTCCTTCTTTTTAAAGACTGTATAATATTTCATTGTTTATATGTCTCACTGTTTAAGTTGACTCCATATATTAAATGTTATGAATAATGTTCCCATGATAATTGCAATGGACATGTATCTTGGCTTATTGGTTTTAGATATTTTAGATGTACATGCTGTGTAGGATTCTTTAATATATTATAGTTTTATTTGTATTTATTTATTTTTAGAGGAGCCCCTGTGCTGTTTTTAAAAATAAATGTAGTAACTTACATAGCTGTTCACAGTGTGCAAGGACGCTTTTATCAACATCCTCACCACCATTTTCTATCACTTGTCTTTTTGATGATAGTCATTCTAATAGTTGAGAGGTGTAATCTAATTCTGGTTTTAATTTGCATTATCATTATCATTAGTGATGGTGAACAGGTTTATACGTTAATAAACCAATATAGCAATGTATATCTTCTCTCGTGAAGCATCTGTTCTGTTCTTGCTCCCATTTTTCATTACATTATTTTTTGTATTACAATTGAGTTGAGTTCCATATATTTTTGATATTTACCTTTCTTGCAATTCACCAATTCACCAGTTCTGCAGGCCATGTATTCGCTGTATAGATTGCTTATTTTGCTCTGTGAAGCCTTTGGTTTGAATCTTCTTTTGCTTTTATTTTGTTTGATTTTTTTTGCTTCTACTGTTTATGCTCTTTGATTCATCTCAAAGAAAAAGTGTCTGAAGAATGTCCTGGATCTCCTTCCTATGTTTCAGGTATTTTAAGACTTAAAGGTCTTAAGTCAAACATGGATGTTCAAGCCTATAATCTTAGCACTTTGTGAGGCTGATGCAAGAAGATCACAGTTTCAAACCCAGGCTTAGCAATTTAGGGAGAGCCTTCTGAAATTAAAAATAAGCAAAAGATGTCTGGGGATGTATCTTAGTATGAAGGTAATGCATTTGATCTCTGGTACCAATGAGACAGAGAGAGGGAGAAAGAGAGAGATCTTACCTTTAAGTTTTAATACATTTGAGTTGGTTTTATTTCTATGTATAGTTGGAGGTAAGAGTTATATTTCATCTGGTGTGTATTTCCAGTTCTTCAGGAACTATTTACTGAGGATACTCTCCCTTCCCCACTCTGTAGCCTTAGAAAATTGTCAAAATAAATGCATGAAAAAATTTATGGCCTTATTTCTGGATCTGGGTACTTTCTCATTGTTTTGTGGATTGTTCTTATGTTCTACTATGCTTCAATTTCTTCATGCTGCCTTTTGATGCACATAAAATTTTAATTTTGAGGAAGCCCAGGGTATTTACTTTTGCTTTCATTGCTCATGAATTTGATGCCAACACAGATCTATATCAACTGGCTGTAATTTATTCTTCAATTTGAGACAGGGTCTCCACAAGTTGCCCTTAAAAGTTCACACTACATGAGTCCCAAACACAAAACCTTGGAAAGGTATTTCTCCTTAGAATTGGAAAAAAGCACATGACAGGACACTTTATTAGTCATAAGGGAATGAAAATCAAATGTACAATGATAAACGTGATGATGCCACCACAGGCAAAAATGAAGTTGTGTAATTTGAATGAACATGGTTGGATCTGGATACTGTCACACTGAACAGAATAAGCCAGACTTAGTATGACAAATACTGAATATTCTTTTTACTGTGTAAAGTCTGAAAAAGATGACAAAAAGCTTGATTGAAGTGGATATGAATGGAATATATATTGAAATATTCATTATTTGAAACTAGGGGTACCATGTAGCAGGAGTGTAATGGGTGTGAATATTATCAAAGTATGTTATGTACAAATATGCTGAAAATGAATCTATATAATGAATAAAAAGAATGAAAGTAAAGTACAATGCTGTTCCACTTAACATAAAAGAAGAGGCTATACTTTACAAAACAGGAAAAATAACAAGTATTAGCATGAATGCTATAAGCGGACACAATGTAGTGAATATAAAATGTCAGCCACTGTTAAAAATCTGGCAGTTTAAAAAAATAGTTAAACATGTAGTTACCATGTGATCCAGCAGTTTTACTCCTAAGTAGATTTTCTAGATAATTGCAAGTAAGTTCTCAAAGAACAAATATACGTGAAAATTCATGGCAACAGTATTTGCAATTGGCAAAATATGGGAAATACCTAAATGTCTGTCAATAAGTAAATGCATAAGTGGTATCTGCATACATATGGTAGAATATTATTTAGAAAGAAAGGAACAGGTTAGCATTACTGATAAAGCCAGCAAAAACTGGGAAGGAAGGAATGAGAAAGGGAAGGAAAGAGGCTAAAGAGGAAGAATGCAAGAGAGGAAAGAAGGAAAAAAGAAATTAAGGAAACAAGGAAATAATGGAGGATGGAGTAAAAGGAGGGCAGGAAGGAAGGAAGGAGGCAAAAGGACTAAAAGTGGAATGTAAGGAAAAGCTTGAAGACCACAGGGAATGTAGGGACTTCTTAGAGCTGCCCTAGGTATGACAGGACTATGAATGAAATGAGCAAGTTCTCTTCAAGGAGTAGTTTTTTGTTTTTGATTATATACTTTTATTGGTACATTTTAGGTATACAATACATTTACATTTGTGATTCGGTGCTTGTACCTGTACATGATGTATCTTGGTTCTTATTTTTTCCCCATTTCACATTGAAAATCCAGCTATTGTTTTTACAAAAAGCGTATGGTAGCCACGTTTGAATGGTGAATTCTGTGTCAGTTATACTTCATCTTTTTTATTTACATCAATTTTTATTCCATTAAGTTTATTGGTACATTTTAGGTATACATTATTATTCCCAATCACATTCATGATTGGGAATTTGTGCCTGTATGTGATATATCTAGGTTCTTGCTTTTCCCCATTCATCTTCCTTCCCTTCCACGCATCCACCCATCCCTATTTACAAAAACTTTGTTTCCATTTTTTTCTTTTCTCATATTTTTTCCTTCCCTTCTTTTCTACCCTCACCCCCTTCCTACTTCCCCTTCTCTTTTGGACCGTTCCTTCCTATATTACCTTATTTATTATACATTTTGGTCCTTGTTTAATCTTGGAGTTTCTCACACAAGAGAAACTATTTGGTATTTACATATGGGTGTTCTATTTATTTCACTTAAGAGTATGGCCTCAATATGCATCCATTTAGCTATAAATGAATCTATTATTTATGGCTAAATAGTACTCCATTTTATATTTTAATCTTAATGTTGATTTCTTCTTTTGCACAATGTGGTGAATGAAAGAAAATATCTCAAAGAAATATTTCCAGGATTAAATGAAGATGTCTAAAAGCAAGAAGCACAATCCTCACATGCTAAGCAATTTGCCTTGACTATTGTGTTTTTTTAATTCATTTTTTGAAGGAAGACAAGAATAAACTAAAATGAAAATGAAAACTGTTAACATTCAAGGGAATAATTTTTCAGTAATACTTTAATAGGTAGAGAATACTGTATATACTTATGGGGTGGGAAGCGATGTTTTGATACACATATACTTAGTAGTATTATCAAATCAGGGCCATTGACACATACATCACCTCGAATATTTAACACATCATCATAGTGAGGACATTTACGGTCATTAATGAGATAATTTTTGAGGATACCATATTGGTACTTCATGTGTTAGGTATGTTAAACATGAAGCTAGAAATATCAGGTATAATTGTAAGAACATTGAAAGATTAAATGAATTTTTAAAATTTTATTTTTTATTGATACATATTTTCATTGAATAATGATTACATTTCTCATGGGAAATTGCTGCATGCAAATAACATGTCTTAATTCTTTTTTACATATGTTTATTCCATCTTCCAACAGGAAAATATACTTGAGAATTAAATAATGAATGATGAGGAGAAATGTATTTGACAAACAGTTTTGGGGGGCACACAAAAATGAAAGAATAAGGCCTATAAGGAATGTATACAAAACTTAAAGTTGAATTATTAGAAATAAGGCTGAACATGCAGAGAAAAAACTACTGAAAATCTAATTTAATATATTAGGGATTTTATAAGTAAGTAAAACTAGAGCTCATTTCATATATTATGAGAAGAGGCACATTTTGAGATCATAAGGAAGCAGAAAGTGGGACCAAATGGAGGCAGAGGGAACAGTGCAGAGCCTGTTGAGATAATTCTGAAGAGAGAGATTGGTGACCTGGCTTAAGCTGATCTAATTTTATGCCAGTGAGACTAGTATATTTGGGAAGACAGATGTATTAGTTTTTTATTAATGTAGTGAAAGTACCAAGTTCTTTTTGGGTGAGACTTTTTCTGCCAGTGGTAGATTTTTGGTTTGAGTTAATTAGTGAGTCATTTTGGGGCTGTGAGAAGATATCTGACATTATCTCACTTAAGATTTTAAGATATTCTATTTAAAGAGTTAAGAATGATTTGCATGGTGCAATCTGCTTGCAGCTGATACAGCAATTTAGGTGGCTATAGGGAGGTAAGATGAGAGTGGAAATAGCAAAGGATGAATTCAGAAGTGACCAGTTTGGGTTAATTTCATATATAATCAAAAAGATTGCAGCAAGGCAGGATATGAGTGTATAGAAAAGAGAGGAACTCACTATGCCTCCTGGGTTGGGGATGTGAACAAGTGGAAAAATGGAATTACATCTATTAGAAAGGAAGGGTTATAGGTAGAGCCAAATGTTTAGGAATAGAAAAGTTATACAATGTGTGTTAGAAAAGGAATGCAATCAGGATATTGAAAATCACAATATTTGCCTTAGGGAATGAAATGCCAACTAAGCACTAAAGATATTGAACCATCAAAGACAACAGCCTTCTCTGCTGAGGAGTCTTCCCATTGCTCCCTTCATATCTTTGTTCCTCAGGCTATAGATGAAAGGGTTCAGCATAGGGGTGACCACAGTGTACATCACAGAGGAAACTGTGTTTCCCTGGGAAGAATGAGTTAAAGCCGAACTAAGATACACCCCAATTCCTGTTCCATAGAATAAGGAGATCATGCAGAGATGAGACCCACAGGTGGAAAATGCTTTATAGTTTCTTTCCCTAGAAGACATCCTCATTACTGTGGAGAAAATCTCAGAATAAGAGAAGAGGATACTGGTGACAGGAAACATACCCAGGAGAGCAACTGTTATGTACAACACAACATTGTTGATTCGGGTATCAGAGCTGGCCACCTTGAGAAGTGGAGGCAGTTCACAGACAAAACGTGGGATTTTAGTACCTCTAGGGAAGGTCAGATGCATTACTAGTAGAAGGTGGAGCAGTGCATTCCAGAACATAATGAACCAAGAAATCAGAACCAGGAGGCAACATAGGCGAGGGTTCATGATAACTATGTATTTCAGAGGGTGACAGATAGCCACAAAGTGGTCATAGGCCATGATGGTCAATAGGAAATTATCCATTCCAGTGAAAATCGTAATAAAATACACCTGTGTGAGACACTCTGTGTAGGAAATGCCTTTATGTTGTGTGTAAATGTTCAACAGCATCTTTGGAACCATGGTAGAAGTGAAACAGATGTCCACAAAGGACAGGTTGGAGAGGAAGAAGTACATGGGGGCGTGGAGGTGGGAGTCAAAGGTGACAGTCAGAATAATGAGCAGGTTCCCAAGCACCATGACCAGATATGTGGGCAGGAACAGTCCAAATAGACAGGGCTGCAGTTTAGGATTTTCTGAGAGGCCCAGGAGGAAGAACTGTGATGTGCTTGTATGGTTTTCCGCTCTCAAATCACTGATATATCTGCTGGAGTAGAAGTTAAATACAAAATTCTAAGAACAAGAAACTGGTACCTTGAGTAATTATCACTTTACCGTATCATCCTTTAGGTGAATTCCTCATCTTCTGTTTAGTCTGGCTAGTCAGAGTAGATCGGTTATCCAAGAGACATTCTTTTTCAATTTTAAATGTGCATTATTTAGTAATTTCTTTAATTCAGTAGAATTTTTTCTTGTTATGTACTCCCTAGTTTTGATTTTCCTACATGGATCACTAGCATAAATAATTTTTTTCTTTGGCATATCCTGTCCAAAATAATTGAAAACATTTTCTTTGATTTTACCCATACTTCTTTAGTCTAGTGACTCTAAAATAATGAAGAAGCTTACATAGTCTTTTATATCAATTTTTGTATGATTTGACACTTTCTATGATATGACAATTAATGTCATTTTTGTGTGAATATGTGATTATTAACACTACCTTAATTGTGAAGTTTAAAGATGCACTTCTTAAGAGTAGGAGCTCAATAAATGAAAACTGTCATTGTTATTACAAATTATTAAAATAATTGCCTATGAGAGAAATCATATGTAAAAACTTCTTTCTCCATATATATATGTCACGTATATATGACATATATACGTGACATATATATATGTATGACATATATGTGTTATATCTAAATATATGTCATGAAGTGCAGTATATGCTTGTCATTTAGAAACTGAGAAAATATGTTCTTTAGTCAGACTTCCTTAAGTATAATTATCACCCACCACTTATCATCTGTCTGGCTTTGAGAAAGTTAGCTATAAATAAATCACCTGCATAGTAAAACATGGTAAACATTCATTAAGTGGTAGGAGTGGAGTATGGCAATATAAGGAGTGATTGAAATATACAGTGAATGTTTAAATGAACAAAATTATTACAGTAGAAGGACACATTGCTATTAACCTCTCTCAGAATACTCCCCTTTGCTTTGAACACTTATCTCCTATTTCTTGCCATTTCAGAAGAAATTTTGGAAATACTCTTTCTTGAGTGTCTATGAAATGTGATAAAAAATATGATGAAGTCTGTTGGTGAATGACATCCAATGGAAAGAAATTCATAAAAATAATGTATGCCCTTATCTAACTTATTCACTAGATCTGGCAACATAACATTTCTTGGTCTTCCCCAAAGACAAAATTGCCATAAAGGTAAAAGTTTTGAATCAGTTCAGGACATTGCTGAAAGCACAATAGCACAAATGAAGACATTTACAAAAATAGGACTTCAAGAGCTGCTCCAGAATGTAGCAAGAAAAATGGGATAAGAGTGTTTAAAGCAAAGGGAAGGATTTGGGGTCGGATTAATGGTGATGTGTCTAATGTACCTTTTGGTGTGGTAATTTTAAAACTTAAATCTTTCATCATACTATGTAAAAGGTGAAAGATTTATGTGATCTGATGAGAAACCAGAGTATGATCATACTATGAAAATGAGATAATTCATATAATCTTTCTACTATAGATCTTGTAGCATAAATGAGCATTTCATAAATGTAAAATTATGTTCTTAAAAGCAAAACTAACCTATTGTACATGTTTTTTTAATTCATAATATGTTTCTTGCATGAACATCATTGATAGTCCCTTATAGCCATCACAATAAACACAGTCTTATAAACATCATTATAAATACAATGGGTTGGTTACCTCTTTTGATCACCATACAACATTTCTAATTTTTGAAGATCCCTCTGGCTCCTCCTGACAGGAAATCCCTGTCCAGTGAATTCTTCCAAGAAGAAAACAAACCATGTGAACTTTGTAGGTAAGAGGAGGAAAGAAAACCACAGCACAATTAAAATTCATACATGAGAGTGTATCCACAAGTGTCCATTCTCTTGGCTGGGATTGTGAATGTGTTAACATCAGAAGAGTTAATTGCTAAAGTATGTGTTTGATGTAGTATCCAAGGTTTCTATATCAAACTATCTAAAAATATAAAAAGACAAACATAGCTAGGCGGAGTGATGGATATCTATAATATAAGAACTCTGGGAGGCTGAGGCAGCAAGATCACAAGTCAAATTATAGTTTCAGCAATTTAATGATACTCTGTCTCAGAATAAAAAAGAAGCTCAGTGTGAAGGCTGTGTGTTTAGTACACAGCATGAGGGAAAAAAAATGCAAATCCAGCCTGAACTACATGGTGAGATCCTGTCTGAAAAAAGGAGAAAGAAAAAAAAGTTTTGAGAAAAATATGCCTATAGTCTCCATAAAAAGAAAAGGGTCAATTTGCTAATGTCTGCAGTGATAAAAATGAATAAATTTATTAGTGACAGAAAACACCATTATGGAGGGTTTTTTATCTCTTCAAAAATCATATTATGTGGAAATAATCATTTGACTTTATCGTTTTCTTTTTCTATCCATTTAGTTTATTTCTCTTGCCTAATGACTTTGGCCAAAATTTTAATAAGTATTATATTGAGCATGTGTGGTGACAACAGGCACCTTTGTCTCATTCTTGGTGCTTTAGCCATCTTCTTATCACTGAGACATGATACACAATGTTATAGCTTATATCTTGATGTCCCTTCCAATCATCATGCAATCATAGATGGGGCTTTTTGGAGGTGGCTGGATCTAGGATGTGTGATGCTGGGACTAACAGGGTCCCATCTTGTTTGGGTGGCACCACTGAAAAGGTAGATAGCCAGGATGGAATATAAAAGGACAGACAGAAGGCCACCCCTTGCTGCTTTGCTGCTGCTGTCTTCTATCTACTCTACCATGGACTGTTTCTCCTCTTTGATGCCCCTCTGCATCTGATAGATGACTCCAGAAAGATATGTTTACTATAGAGAGGCTCTAGATTCAGAAAGTGAGAGAAGAAAATGGAATCATTGGCAAAATATGGTTTAAATTTTCTTCAAAATACAAGGTCTTCATCTTCACAGACTGAAGAACTATGAGATTTTACCAGCATCAATATTCTTGAGAGAAACTCCAGGACCCACACTCTCTCCTCTTTTTTACTCCACCAGGCTCACTGAGAAACACTGACACTCAGATGTCAGTCACTGAAGCTTTGTCTTCTCCACAATCAGTACCTATGAAGCCCTCTTCAGTTTTCATAGAGGCTGGGCCAGAGAATTGCAAGTGAGTATTATCTGTGGCATCTGTACATTTCCCACTGTCTCAAGGGTTGAATTCTCAGAGCTCATTAAATAAATTGTGTTTTTTTCACTCTCCACACAATTCAGCCACCATGAGGTAGAAAGAATGATATGGTTTTTTCATTAATTTTCTGTCAGTGTAGGTGCTTGTTGGGAAGGTGAACATATTCAAGAGAAAGTTTTAAATTTGGTTCGATTTAAGTCACTAGATGTCCTAGTGATGAAAATTTGATTTCTAATAAGAATAAATACAAAGAACTATTTTGTGTTGTATGGATCCCATGAAAAAATAATTGAAGGCTTTATGGATCTTTTGGTGCCCAAAATGTAATGGAAGCAATACCATTCTGTATTTTCTTATTTTTTTCTTAATTTTATGTATATTTTATATTTCAGTTTTTTTAATTTAGCATGTTAAAGTGTTTATTAACATGTTTGAAGATATAATAGTGTGCAATCTCTAAACATAACCAGTTAGCATATGCATTATGTTCTATAGTTATTTTTGTAGAGAGAACTCAAGAAACACTCAAAATTTTGCAAGAATACAACATACAATTAAATACAATAAACATACTGTATAATAGATTTCATAAGCTTCTCCCTTCTAACCTAAATAGAATTTTATTCCTCCCACTTTTTTTGAGACAGAGTCCCACTATGTAGTTCTGGCTGGCCTTGAACTCACCATGTCACTCAGGTTGGCTGCAAATGCCCTGCAATTCTCCTGTCTCAGTCTTCTGAGTGCTTGAATTACAAGCATGTACTACTACACTTGGAGCCCTGGAATTTTATTTCCTTTCACCAAAACTTTCCCAAAATTTACATTAGTCAAACCTTTCCCCCAAACATTTACATTAGTCATTTTTCTGTCACTCAGAAAAAATATTCTTGACACCTGCAACTTAAAAGAGGAGAGGTTTACTTTGGCTCATGGTTTTCAGAGCACTTATTCCATGGTCAGCTGGCTGCACTGCAGATACATCATTGTGGAAGAGCATGGTGAAGGAAGGCTGCTCACTTCATACCACTTATGAAGCAGACAGAAAGAGATAGAACTGGGACAGGAATATAGTCTTGCAGTTTATTTCCCTTTCACCCACCTCCTCTGACCAGCCCCACCTTCTAAAAGCACAAAAACTACTAAACTCATGAATCCACTGCTGAGTATAGTGCCCTGTAACCCAGTCACATTTCAAAAGTACTATCTCTTAACACATAAGGCTTTTGGAGGACATTTTAAATCTAAACCACAACCCCATCCCAACCTAAATTAACCTCTCAGTTTAGTTTTTAGATCAGTTTTTTTTTAAATCTTATATATAACTGAATCATGTAGTAATTACCTTTCTGTGCAGGTTTATTTTATTTAATATAATGTCATTCAAATTCATCCATGTGGTAGTGCCAGCACTTTGTTTTTCTATGCCTGAATTTGTAGTCCATTACATATGTGTACATACACACACACAGCACCCACACACACGGACATGCACACATAATTTTATTTATCCATTCATCTTTTGATGGACACTTAGGTAACTGTAAATATCAGCTATTGTGAATAGTGCTGCACAAACATGGGAGTGCAGATGCCTTTTGAACTTACCAATTTCATTTCCTTTGGCAAATACTGAGTAGACATATTGCTGGATAATAGGTAATAATCTTATTAATTCATTGATGAACCTACGTGCCATGTCTTATAATAGTTATGCTATTTTAGATCTCCATGGGCAGTGTACAAGTGTTCTCTTACTAGCCTCCTCACCAACACTTTTATCTTGTATCTTTTTTATAGTAACCATTGTGACTGGAGTGAGATGGTAC